CTTTCTTAATGAGGCACAGCAGTTTGCTAGCCTTCCACTCCTTAAGCAAATACTCAGCTCTTTAAGATCTGCTGATAAGGCCAACAATGACAAAAGAGAAGTAAAGGAGCTTAATTCCAACAGTTACCTTTTTCCTTTCTCATTTAGAACTACATGGGGGACCAAACTCAATGGAGTAGGCATTTTAAAGGTAACTGAATCTAAATTTCAAAAAAGTCAATTTCCTGATTAACACACATGAAGACAGATTTATTATTTCTAGTGAGGGCAAAACTATTTCCCAGGAGCCCCATTTACTTTCTTTAAGTAAGCCCAAGCCTGCTTGTTAACATAACACCTTCCTGGCTATCCAAGTAGAAAATAAGGAAAGTAACTTCTCTAGTTTTTATTTTTTTTTTAATTTCAAACATATGCCTTTAGTATGCTTTCTATTTAGATTTACTAGTCTACAGAAATATAATACAATGTCATTATCTTGTCCTATTTTATTCTACAAATACTGCCTAAATTACATTAATATTTTATGCCTGTTACTTGTTCATACCACAAAAATTTTGTCAACTAATAACACATCTGTACATATTTTTTATTCCACCTACTTACTCAACCTAGATTTCAACTTCCCTGAATTTCCATATTCAGTTCTTTCAATTTCTCAATTTCGGTACATGCCTTAGACTAGTGAATAAATGTCATCATTCAATAATAACTTTATTACTTGCCTGCTTTAATGTCATCTGAACATTCTATAAGCATGTCCTTAAGTTTTTATCTAAATCTGGGATCTAACAATGAGCTTTGAAGAGAATATGTATAGCTTTCATCTGATCCTCAAAGTATTACTGATTATCTGCTTGTCCTACCTTGGCTCACCTCTTACATAAAAACTACAGAATAAGCTAGCGACAAAAACATTTATATAATATGATACAAAGGAGTCCTGTGAGCGTAGCCACTTTAGTAAGTACTGAAGGAAAACCTGGAAATTTGGAAGTATACTTAGTTAACTGAATCTCCACACCAATTAAGACCAATATATGTTACCCTGAATATATGTTTACTGGGGGAAACTAGGTAAACAGTACACGGGAACCCTTAGCATTATTTTTTCAACTTTAAATCTAAAATTATTTCAAAGTAATAAATGGGGGGGGGCAGGGGAAGGATCAAAAGGAGGGAGGTGAAGAACACTAAAGGGTCATTAAAAACCTGTCCTTGTTGGCTTCTTGGACTACCCTCTACTAGATGTCCTTAAGTGAAATGTAGATAAATTATTAAGTACTAAGGACAAATTATCAGGGACTCTATTTGTGGTGCTACAACATGGTTCAGTCAGTTCTATATTCTTAAGGTACTTATACATAATTATTGGGAGAGAACATTTAACCAGTACCAATACCCAACAAGTATCCCACTATACAGATGAATCTCAAACATAACACTAGGCACTAACATAGTATAGGAAGTACACTAATTACATAGCATATCGGAAGTTAGGACAGGGAGAAGGTGACTAGAAGCGGGTATGAAGAGGCCATGAAGGAGGGCTATAATATCCTATGTCCTGATCTTGGTGCTGGTTACACATGTGTTTTCAGTTTAAATTGTACATTTATAAATGGTGTACTTTTTTGATACAAGTTGCAGTTCATTAAAAAGATTTTTAAAGATTCCTATTACTGAGCATTCAAAAATTAGATTACCCAAATTGTGAAACATGTTCTATTATATGGGATAACAAGTATTCGTTAAAAATAGACCCAAGTTTCTTGGAGGATGAACAGAACAAAACAAATTATTTTATAAAGTACCCATGTTATTGATATAGAAACATTTAGTGCTAATTCACTTCTAGATTCAAAAATGAAATCTCATAATGTACAATGAAAAGAATGAAAATTTTTTCTAACACAAATACTTGGGTTAAGGACATACTTTTTTTTTTTTTTTTTTTTTAGCCAGTAATTTAAAAACCAGATGTAATTAGATGTGAGTGAATAATCTAAATATTTTAACAAAAACCATCAAATATTTACTAAAAGACTTTCTATAAACTTACTTAAGACATTCATTTTAATAACCCAGTTCTTCTACTCTCCAATAATTTCTCTTTAAATAGTGGTGCTACCATAAAAAAGAACAAGCAGACTCAAGGGGATGGTGTACCTAACAATTGCTACTCTTGCTACATTTATGCAATTTCCTCATGAACATGAAAACATTGCAAGTGCTTATCAATGAGAGTAAATTCTTACAAGCTACCTAATTTCTTCCTTTAAAGTTTCTTCTCCCTAGTTCTCCTTCAGCCTTACTGACCTTGAGAGCTGTTTGCTTTTATATTTGAGAGCTGTTTGCTTTTATAGGTTCCCAATGAGAGCCTGATCCTCAGTGACTAGCAGGATAGGTTCTAAATTAATTCTGTAGATTTAAGAGAGCTAATAATTAAATTCACAAAGTTTAAAAAAAGTCATATTTTACAGTTACTGCTCTGAAACACACACGAGAACATTGCTAAAAAATTGACTTTACGACGAGATATATCTCCTAGAAAGCTAATCATGTAGCTACATTACTCACTATAATAAGTAGGCATTCCTAACAAGAGGTCGATTATTTTTGAGCTATCTGTATTGACTGTCGGAATACTTGAAGATAGTTTTACTGATTGATTCCCTGAGGATTCTGCAACAGACAAGTAGGGAAGTCAGAAACTATGATGGCATATACAGAAAGATGGAAAAGGCAGCTGAGAAGAGCTTCAATATTAGTACAATTTAGGAAACCCCTGGATATCCCAGGAGAGAATATCTAAATACAGGAAGAGGCAGCTGAGTTGTTGAAAAGCTTTTCAACTTGCTAATTTAAATAGGAAAGGAAATGAAGGACCATTAGGGAATTTTAAATCAATGAGAAAAATATATCACTCATATTTTGGTTAAAAAGAGACTCAAGGAATCCTTGAGATGGGGGTTGGCAGGGGGGGCAGTAATCAAAAGTACCAGTCTTTCAAGTTAGGACAAAAGTGGACATCTTCTGATATCTAGGGCATGTTTAATGAAAACTGGCATAAAGGCTGCCCCTACTGAAAAGCATTCCAAGATCTCATAAACTGAAGCCTGAAATATAATATCTGGCCATACTGACAGGCAAGTTTATGCCTAAAATAAGTAGATTATGTAGTAGATAAAGTAAGGGACTTTCAGTCCCCTAAACTTCTGAATGGATCTAGCAACCACAGTTTTTCTCAACTGAGTACTTAATAAGCTAGTTGAAAAATCAAAAGGAAGCCATTAGTCAATTTCCATTAGGTTGGGCTTGTCACCTTGGTATTATGGGCCAATTTATAGTGAAAAATGGCTGATCTAAAGATCTAGAATGTAAGTGCTGATTATATTTTGGCATTAACATAGACAAGTAGCCATTAGCTTCTTTGGCTTTGAACAAGAGAAAATATTTTAACTCATGAAAAACTACAGATAAAGCAACTTGCCTCATTTCTGACACCTTAAAATTTCTGGTATCTATAAAACAAAAATAAATAAAGGAGTATTTAGCTGTAACAACAAATGAGCAGTCAACTTCTTTGTTGTTTTGCAATGAAACACAGGAAGCCTTTTAATATTAGAACAGAATTATACAAAATAAAGCTCAAATCTTTTTATGCTGTTTTGAAAAAATAATGTATGTATTCACGCTGCTATGGCAGCTTGTCAAAATTAGATATTTGAAATACAGTTGAAAACTTATTACTACATTTCAAAATAGAGTGCTATTTTCCCTTTTTCTTCAGATGAAGTATAGATGCATCCTAAAGTATTGATACTCTGACTACACCCGGTAAGATATTTGAATAATTAAACCTTCATGCTTGTTTCATGCTATAATTTACATTTACATATTAATTTGTGCTGCTATAGCAGAAACACCTAAAAACTGATTTTATAAACTTGGTGCTACAAATTTTAAACATAAAGTTCAAAAAGTAACTGTTTAAAAACACTTTTGGTGAAGTGTTTTTGTGTTAAGGGAAACACCATCTAAAGGTACTTTGTTAGAGAATACCTTTAGAGTATAACACACAAGCAAATCAAGCCTAAGGATTAAAAGAAAGTTTTACTGTTTTTAGGCAATATAGATCATGTCTTAATATGATATGTACATGCACTTAGCAATACTTTTTCTAATGAGAGGGAGCAGATTGTTATCCAAAACTATACCAAAAGACACAAATGCATTGCCAGGCAGAGTTAAAAGAATCTAACAAGCTTTGTGTGAATTTTAAAAACACTGCTTGTGCTCAACTTTTGTTAATTAAACATAGAATGATGTAGTGCTAACAAATATTCAGCAAAAATAACTGAACAGAGCATACACTCACTTAAAATATATGCTGAGCAGAAAGATAAACCAAAGTATCTTTTCTCAAAAATGAACTCTGAAACTATTCTGTATTTTTTAATGTTGAAAGTAAAATATGTACATTTCTGTTGAGAAAGCAAACTGTTTTGGGGCTTAGCAAATCAGTAATGTATATCTAATGAACTCCATAGAACCAACTTGGATATCTGAACGTCTCATCAAAAATTAAACAATGACTACTCTGATACCTTGGTCTTATCTTTCCTCCAATTTTAAAATTTGAAATAATATTTTGTTTTACGTTATCATGGCTTTTATATAGAAATTATATAGAATAGCACAAAATTAAAATTACTATAGAATATGTTTTTGTATTAAAATAAGTGGTTATTTAATATAAGATTCACACACAGAAATATAAATCCTTCAAAAAAAATAAATATAAAGTGCACAAAATTCAGTTTAAAAAAAAAAACATGTTTATAAAATATATATACTGTCCTTTTGGTTTATTTTGCTGCTTTGTCCCATGCTAGATACCATGTGATTTTCCCTCTTAAAACAGCAAAGATCAGTTTTATGCAAAGCAATTCATGCATACATTTTTGCATGTATGCATTCCATATGTCAAGTATTCATACCTATCCCAGAGGCTCTTTGATTCCTGAAACGTGTTCAAATGGAACGCTTGGTAGAAAGCAGCTGAAGGATTCCTGTGAGATCCGAGAATCAAATGGAAATGAGGTTGAGAATATACAGTAAAATCACTACTTTAAAAAAAAAAAAAGAAGAAGGAAAATTTTAGATTTCTAATACAGTGCAACTGCTTTGTTGAAAATAAAAAGAAAAAAGCATATAAAGTTGTTAAAACACTTTGAAAGAAATTAAAAACTAGACAAAAATCCAATAGACTCCAACAATAATTCAGGATCAATTTTCTAAAAGGGGTAATAGATAAAACTTTAAATGTTAGCATCCAGTTGTGACATTGTGTTTACATACGAATGTGACTAGTCTACAGCCCATCATTTGCCTTTTAAATATAATATCTACTAGTCTAGCAGTTCAACAAAGCTATTCTTAAGTGTTCATGTAAAATGTTAAGTCATACATTTCTCAGAATATGCTGAAGTGGGAAGTATTTGAGAATGAACAAGAGTCCTTTCCTGGGTTGGACTTGACACATTTCTACCTTCAGAATTCACATATTTACATGTGGTTTTTCTCTGGGCTGGTGCAAAAACTTTGGTTGCAATGGCAGCTTTCTAGCTTGCATTAATACAACACCCCTTTAAAAGGTAAAAGCTTATTCACAACAACTATCATTCACTTTTACCATTCTGGCTAACAGCACAGAATCCTAACTGATGGCTCACCTGGGCAAGTCCCAGTATGTATGATTCTCCTTGTTTCAGGACTAGTTTCTTAGGGAACAAAACCTTCGACAAACCAGCTTCTTAATAGTTCGCCCTCCTCTTCAGCATGGTTCTGGTCTCTCTAACCACCAACTTGTACTTTAGGGGAGCTAACAAATATCTGTCACATCATTTCTTGATCCATGCTGCAGCAGAATAGCAGCATCTAACAATGTAAATGTTTATTGCACAAGAGACCCCGTTCTAAGTGCTTTATGTTTATTAGCTCAACTTTTGCAATAGCTCTACCTAAAAGGTCTAAGATTTATATATTCCTATCTCACAGATCAGAAAATTGGATCCAACAGAAGTAATCTGCCTGATGCCATAGACCTAGGAAGGTAATCTGGTTCCAGAGTTTATGTTCTTAAACCACTAAGTTAAACATGTAGCAGCACTAAATTTTGACTTCTTTAAATCTCTGTTAACAGCCTCTCAGGATGATTGAAGAATTGAGACAATACCTAAATCTCTTGGAATACAGTCAATGCTCAACAGCTATCATTTTGTATACAAAATGACACAAATGTAATTCTGAGGCCCTAATAATGTGCATTTAGAAAGTCTGCAGAATTATGGGTACAGTTAGAAAACTATTTCTAAGGTCTACTGCAAGAGTACTCAAGTATCAGTGATCATCAAGACAAATGCACAACAGAACTCTGATTTCAAAACTCAGATGAAGGCTAATTAAGTTGTGTAATGTAACTGTACTTAGAAGTCAGTCTGCCAAATCAAATGAAAACCAGCTGAAACAACTGGAAACTCAACTGGGATTTCCCCCCCCCCCCCTTTTTTAAACCAGGCCTGTGTAGGACCATATGGGAACTAGTTTGATGTCCTCACAGGTCTGTTAGAGACCCCAAATTTAGACAGAATGACTCAAAGAGTTAGGTAGTAAATACTTCCCTTCAAAGTAAACTTAGAAGTTACTCTCCAAGTCTGGAATTAAAAATTCACAAACAAGAACTTTAAAGATGCTCAAATATGAGGATGACATTTAAAAAAAAAAAACACTTCAGATTTTGGCCAATTCATCTGCCAAATAAATTGGTTTCAATAAAGTCATATGACTTAAATTACGGAATTCTAGCATTTCTTAGCATAACAGTAAAATTTCTCTTATAAGTTAAATGTAAAGTGGAAAAAAAAGAACATATCTACAGTGTGAAAAGAACCTACAAAATGAAATACAATCAATGAACTTATCTTTAAAATGTCAAGAATATTGCAAAAGCTGAAAATTAACACTTATTCTATATATACTCAAAATGAAGAAGGCATTTGGAGTTATACAGTCTATATACCACAGAAAACTTAAAAATAGTCTAGATTCTAAAGATAAAAAATTTAGAGTGCCTACTAATGAGACATGAGATTTTGGAACGGGATGAAGTTAAGTGACAAGAGTGCTTGCCTAACATGCACAATTTAGCAGGCACTGGTAAAAAGAAAAAAAAAAAAGTTTTTTTGGTTGTTGTTCCTGGAATACTACTTCAAGTAAAATGTTACCCATAAACTGAGTGTCCCCCTTCCTATTTTTAAAGCAAGTAGCAACACTTTAGCTCAAAATATTAACAGGCGTAGATAAAAGATTTCAAATCTCTGAGACCTAGCTAATCAAGAAATCTAAGGGAAAAAGAGAGAGAAAAAGAACCATTTGTAAATACTAACAGGCCTGATCATCAGACTTCTGTTTTGAAATGGCATAAAAATTGAGGGGATTTGGGCTGGGGTTGTAGCTCAGTAGTAAAGCACTTGCCCAGCATGCATGAGGCACTGGGTTGGATCTCCGGCACCACATAATACAAACAAACAAATAAAATAAAGGTAATACGTCAAAAAAAAAAAAAAAAAAAACCAAATGAGGGGATTAAGAGTCCAAGGAAAACTGTTAATAGAATCATTTCATAGTTACAGTCTATTAAACCCAAAAACATCAAAAGGTAACTGAAATGTAAAAATTTATTTAAAAAATATTGAACTTTATATAGTTTGGTCACAAATTGTCTTCTGTCCAAGAAATAAAATTTGAAACCAGTTTCCTAACCATTCTAAATACAGAACCAACCAAGCAATTCTTAGGATGACTGCAGTGTTTCAACCACCTAAATGAAATTATTGATTTCCTAGTTGGAGCCATTTTCAAAATCGCTGAACAAAATATATTCCTCCTTGACTTTATATACTACATGGTCTATCACCACTATTCAAAGTACATGAAAATAGGGCATCAGAAAATGACACAAAACAAAACACTTTAGTAAGACACTATCTTTGTCAGATAACTATGACAGGGAGGGGAAAAATACACATATACCCACACTGTAGAACAAAGCTACAAAAGTTGATGAGGCTTCAAAGGATATGTGAGTCCTGAACTCAGTGAACATTTTCTTTTATTTATGTCAAAATTCAACTTCAGAGACTCTTTGAATAGAAACCAGGGAAGTACAATAAGCAGATGATAAACAAGGGCCACTTCCATATTACTATCTAGGGATTATAAATGGTTAAAAATATCCTTTAGATAAAGGGTTACAACACAACACTTCAGTGGCTACAGTAACTTTCCCTTCCTCCCAGTATCTCATCCTCTGCCAAGTAATAAAAGCAAAAACTTCCAACTCTGGAAACACACAAGAGCACTAGTGTGGAGGTTGAAGACAAGCAAGAGACTATGCTTTATCACTTAACAGCTATGTGTTTCAAACTTCTAGAGCCTCGGCTTTCCTAATCTGTTAAGGGAAAGGGCGAGGGGGAGGGGAGGAAGAAAGCACTTCTTTACAGGTTATTGCAAAAATCAAATAAGATTATGTATACAGAGAGCCAGACACTATTAAGCTTGATTTGTGTTTAAGATAGGGCTATGGTTTCCAAATTATGTTGTATAAAAAAACAACTTTTGGTAGAGTATCTTAACATATACCAAATGTTTCATCTCCATCAAGGTAATACCCAGGCAAACAATAGTTAAGTTTAGAACTAGGTGTACCAAAGTATGTAACACGTTCCCCTGAGTATTTTAATTTGGGGGACTCAGTGCATCTCCATGTACTCCCAAAACATAACTCTGTTGCAAGATTTTAATTTAAAATACAATGATCACTGAAAGGAGAGTTGAAATGGCTACAAAATAAGTATTACTTGAACAATAAAAGCTTCAAGAAACACATTTAATAGCAACCAAAATCTTATAAAAATTTAAATTTATCAAGATTTTAAGCCTTTCATTCTGGTTCTGGTCAAGTTAATCAAATCATTTTTCAAAATGACAAATTCTTACTCTTCCATGTCATTGCACAAGGTGCCCTTTCCCTTAGTTTGGAAAAGTATCCCTTTCTCTTATCAGTAACCTAATCTAAATGACCCTTTTAAGATTTCAAGAGTGGGTCTCAGAAGCATGCACATATAATGATTTGACTCTGAGAACACAAACTAGATGTCAGAAGAACAGAGGTGGCAGAGAGCTTTCAATTTTTCCTTTTGTATATTTTGAACTATATAAATATATACTTATACAAAGAATAACTTATAAACAGAAGTTAGTCTAATAACCTCGTAATTGTTAAATGACTTGATGTTTTATATTGTCCCCATTAGCACCTTATATTTAGTCTACAATGTATATATATATATATATATATATATATATATATATATATATATATATATATATGATAATCACTTTCATATAGCCTGAGATCTTGGAAAACAGTAGTCTTATTTTTGTATCTCAGTGCTTACTATTCAGAAAATACAATGAAAGATGAATGATTGACATATTGTTACTTTAATGTTTACTTAGACATTCAATCTGCTGAATGAATATTTGCAAATCTCATTTACTATCACACAATGGTCCTGTGACAAAAAAAAAAAAAAAAGGTTTAAAATAAGAGAAAGGTTTAAACTAGCAGCTCTCTCATGAAGCTTATCTTGTTAACTCAATAGAGCTAGAAGGAATCTTAAAATCTGAGCCCTTAAGTCTAGCTTTACCAATGAGGAAAATTGAGAGAAGTTAAAGAACTTGACCAAAGAAACCAGCAAAGTTGTGGCAGGGCCAAGTTTAGAACACAATTTGCTGCCAGATGTAGTTGCAAATGTCTGGAATCTCAGCAACTCGGGAGGCTGAGGCAGGAGGATCACAAGTTCAAGGTTAGCCTCAGCAACTTAGCAAGACCTTGTCTCAAAATAAAAAGTGAAAAGGACTTAGGATATAGCTCTGTGGTCAAGTGCCCCTGGGTTCAATCCCAGTTCCAAAAGGGGTAGGGGGGGGGATGAGAACACCACACTTT